CCACTCATCATCTCTTGTAGGCCATGAAGGGGCGGGATAAGTATCACGAGGAGTTATACCTAAGAGTTTCTTTCTATTAGGAGTACCATCATTCCTCACCGCCTCCCAAATTCGTTTTGCCAAAGATTCAGGTCTCTTCTTGTAATTCCTATAAGCTCGTTGGATAACTGTTGCATAGAAATTTTTAAAGCCATAATTATAGTATTTAGAAATCAAGAATCCCCAAGACCGCTTCATTAATCTTCCTGAAATACTTCACTAAAATAGTTATATATATTAGAGGATCTAACTCAGAATAGGCAGATCATGCATAGCGATTTTCTCCATATATATGAAGCATTCCACAATTTCACTAGGCGATCACCCATGCAGATTACATTTTATTGGATAGCACAAAAAATAAATTAATTCATTATATTGTATTATTTTGCAAAGCGTCTTACAAATAAAGTACCTGACTAAATAATTATACATGAATATGAAATATACTATACTATTTTAGTAAAGAATTTAAGACTCGGAAAACTCGTTGCACATACTCACAATTATTGTTAAATCTGAGAAATCTATTATACTAGACTTTCCCTCGATATTAGTAGAATATTCAGATTTGAAATAGTCGATTTCTAGCGAATCACATAGATATTGTTTGCCTGCTTTTTTACACATATATCGTGCATATTCTGAACTTTTAACAAAGTTTACAACAATATTATTATTTACTTTACTAATACGGTGATATTCAGGATTTGCTAGACATTTTAACAAAAGGGACCAATCTCCATAAGTAACGATTCTATAGCCTTGCTGATGCAATTTTATAAAAGTAACTATATATGCTACAGTATTTAGGCGATTATATAACTGGAATTTCTTCATTTCTGCCCAATCACTAGGAGAATAATATATATATTCCTTGTACCTTGTAGCCCATTCGGTTAGATATTCTTTAATATATTTTTGAGCAATATTTTCATTATATGCTTTTTTAAGGCAGTTGACATATTCGTTGATATGAAAATCATATTCTTCTTGAGTCTGGGGATTTATTCTCCTTTCAACTAGTGAAAATATACCTAAATATTTCTTCCTATCGGGAGTGCCATCATTCCTCACCATATTCCAAACTTGTTTTGCCCATGTTTCAGGTTTCAACTTGAAAGTTCTCCAAGCCCGCTGGATAGCTTTTGCACTGTTAATTAATCGATATACAGTACTTTTCCTAATTTTTTTTGAATCACGAGAGCAAAAACATTCAGAGCTTTTTCTGTATCTAAAATAAATACTATCATAAATTTCATTAATTTCATCATCACTTAATTCTGATACTATTTTTTTCACATTTTTCTGTATAGGTTTAGAATATGTAATACGCCTTTTAGCAGTTTTAGTAATACATTTCTTCAGATGATCATTGCCACATTCGATGGTATTTTCACAGATAATTACTAAAGAGTCGCATACAGTGCAATAAATATGAAATGAGCGTCCCCCAGCTTTAAAATCCCCATCTATATATACTTTTTCAATCATTTGAATAAATCCATTCTTGGAGAAGTATTTTGGATTATTTTCAAGAAGTGTCTTAAATGGATAACAAATACGGGAATACCACATTTCTGGTGTTTAATCACTATACCTATATTGCAGATTGTTTAACGCCTGCACTACTACAGGATTTAAGCCAGAATAGTTGGTTTTAACCATTTTTACGATAATAAGTAGTTTATAGCAATTTCACTGATTTTATAGATTTATAGCGTTTTAGCAAGTAAATATCAGATTCATTTTTATTCGCATATTGGGAATTTATATCTTGGCCAATTTTATATTTACATGCATATGCACAGCGTCTTCGGCTAAGTCGGCCCTCTTGATCTGGTGAGGAAATCCATTTTTTAAGATAAGATTTGCAAAAATATTACATATGTATCTCTTCACTCCGAGAAAATTTATTTTTGAGGAGGCGTATATCATATCACAGGTATCACCCTGGCTCCCTGCAACTGGAATAGAACTTACCCGAAGTGTAAGGAGAAAAGCAAGAAAAAAATATAGAATTCTTTCATAGAGGAGACAAGAATAATTTTATCAAACAGCAAGAGCGGGATCAACTTAAGAAAGAATTATGCGAGGAGAATTTTATTGCACTAAGGTATGTTTGGTATCATGAAGACCCATATGTAGTTATTCCAGAGCATCCTCGAGAATTGGGCCTCATTGAATAAGTTCATAACTTTAAACGCTTTTATGATTCACTATTGACTATAATTTTATTCATAAAATACCAATACACATACAGTATAGCATACACAAGTTAAAAGGATAAAGCCCCAACAAGAAAATTTATAAGTATACGCCTATCCTGCACTAATAAATAATTTAAAGAAATACAAACGAATAAAAAAATACACATCAAGAACTACTTAATCAAGATAACTACTATAAATAAGATACTTAAGTGCATTTCGAACACGATCATCGTTATTTTCATAATAATCTTTTAATAATTGATGCCCAGGAGCTGTTTGCTTATTAATTTGAGCAATTCCAATAAAAACCTTATAATCATCTCCATCTGTTTTCTCATGATATAACATAACACGAACTCCATAAATTGAACCATCAATCTATTTCAATAGGAAACTTTATTATATTTATTTGTATCATAATCATAAACTCTAATAATTTTAATATTTACCTCATAATCTATAGCGAAATCCCCATCATTCCATACTCCATCCTTAGTATAAATCATTGCTTTAAATTTACTTACAATTTTTTTTCGAATATCTTCTTGAACATAGTCGAAACCATTTTCTACGAACGGAATAATATTGTCTTTTTCAAGCATATATAATCCTGCTTCACTTCCATATGAAAGTTTACCGCCACAATCTTTTCCGTGTGTTTTACATTGATAATGTTCTATCCATGAAAAATCAGACTTAAATTTATCGATGAATCTTAATTCGAATAGAATTTTTTGCAATGATGATGATGTGGAAGTAAGGTCTGTAATGAAAAGAGAAGCCATTGCGAACATATTATTACATTAATAGTTGAAGTCCTTTTATAACATTTTAGATGTTGGATTATCAATTATGCCAATCTGATTAGCAATATGAATGTACTACTTCACATCTCCCAAAATGATCATATGATTATTACCTAATTTTCGATATAAACACATTTAGAAGAGCCCCCAAAATTTGATGATAAAACTCATGTGAAGAATTTTTTTTTTATTAAAAAAAAGCAGTTTGTGTAGAAAATTCGCTAAACCAGTTCGTGCACAGAACTAAAAGTCTTGCCGAAAATGTGACAGAATGAAAATTGCAATCAACACTGTCACACAGATGGTCAGAAGCTTTTTGCATATAATCTCGCCAAATCAGTCTGTGCTTTTCCAAAAGAGCGTCTTATCATACAATATAAAACACAAAATAATGATGAGAAAAATTAATTTGTTAGTATTTGTGTTATACAGGATGTTTCAAAAAAGGAAAGGCATAAAAGAACCGCTACTCTGTATCACCATTTAAGTATATCCTATCTACCCATAAACCTGTCTTAGATACAGTGTTGGAGATTATCTCAAATGAAAGTATAAAACGGGAATTTTAGTTGTTCGATTGTTTATACGCTATTATGTATTTCTCTCAAATCGGGAATCATTTAGTTTACTATCATGAGAGTTAATAATCATCTGAATAACACATGTATAGATTTACATTTACATTTGCAAACGCACACATTTTAAAAATCATTCAAAACATTCTTTATTGCAAAGTAATACATGAGAAAGGGCCGGCCGGCTAAGTAAAAAATGAAAATAAAAAACAATAGAGTAGCAGGTTGTTTCAAGGGAGGAAATTGCCGAGCCCTAACCCATATATTGGCAGTTCCTTCCCCGCTACTCAGAAGCGTAGTGTAATTTTATTATCTATCCAAGCACCTATTTTTTCTAAATTTCCGCTATTTAAATTTTCCCCATTGTAAAAACCCTTTATCGTATCTTTCCCAATTTTTCCCATCCCAAATACAAGAATA